GACATAAACACGCACGCACGCACACACGCACACACACACACGCACTCACACACACACACACACGCGCACACACTCACACACTCACACACACACACACACACACACACACACACACACACACACACACACACACACACACACACACACACACACACACACACACACCACCCCCCACTTTGGTGTTGAAGCCAGGAAACACAATCAGAGCGAATGTGAGATTCGAACCCACGAGAATTGGTCACTTGGGCGTAACTTAGTGCTTTGCGCCTCACATGATTTTGGCTCCTGCGTCCCCGTACACTTCATATACTACCGTATCATTTTCTAATCCAAGAGTGATCAACATTCCAAAGCCCTGCCGTCTACTTTACGCGTTGTCACAGTAAGTTCTTTGACATTAGACTTCGTGCCTAGAACGTGGGGACGGGAAAATTTCCAACGTATTACAACGCAGAATTTAACATGATTGGATTACTGAGCAGATCTTTGGGCAATACACATGAACGTCAGCAAGGTTTCCAGGCTGAAGTGGATTAAATTTACTGTCCTAGTCCGTCACTATATACACGACCGTGTCACATTGTCGTACTCAAGGCATGGTATTACAAATGCTCAAAACCACAGAAGTAATATTTCGTAAAGCATGAGCGTTCCCAGCTTTCTCATAAATGTTTTTACGTGATAGATTGTCGACATATGAAGAAAAGAATTATATCATGAGACCTGGCGACTAGTTTTTAATATGGCAATTGCACAAGGTTTGAACCAACATGACATAGTTAACTGTAAATGGTGCAGTCTATAGATGCCTTGAAAGGTCAACACGTTTCAGGATTCCCTCAACAGAAAGCCTGAAAACCGTGACCATGGACTCTGTCTCAAAGCGCCGTCTGGTCCGTAGTACTTAATGACCTTCACCTTGTGAATTTTCTGTACGTGGAACACGGCAGTTCCTGAACTAGTTGACCAAGCACTTTCGTTGCAGTTCGATCATAGGTGCCGATGTTCAGTTACCCCAGAATGACACTTATAATCATCAGAAAAAATGAAACCATGTATTTTTTCTGAATCCATATGCAATACTGATTACAATTATCAGTGGTTTCAAAAATTAACATGCACTTCCCATGGAAAGCATTTTTGCTACATAAGCCCCCGCACTACTATGTGTATCAATTGATATTCTCAAGCAGATGCTTCTGAAGATCCACAAGCCAGTGTAGTCACCAAGACGTATATGGCCGCAGCTACTGTTTTGTTTGAACAAAATGGAGACAAGTTCGAGATTTTTAGTATTGCAAAGTAATGAGGAATAATACATCTGAGTTCATTTCTTGCTGAAGACGTTTTCTTTCAACTTGTTATTTTGTTTGGGCTGTTGCAGCCATATTAAATATCTTATTCGAACAAATTAAAGTATAATTTCTGTCTCATGCACTTAGGCCATGGATACACTGCATCCATTACAACCGACCACCTGCATAAATTAGGATCCACATTGTGCTCCAGAGATATGAAAATAACTTGCGTCATTGTCGTGAACAGAAAAATGGGAAACTGTTTGAGCTAGGACAGGAAAACATGCATCCCCACTGCGCTCCAGACTTGACTGCTGCAGCATATGGTGTAGTATGCAGCCCTCGTGAGGTCCTTTGGGATATCAAGAACTCTGATTGTCCACCTTGATCAACTTGAGAAAGAGACAGGTTTCAAACATCACGTAAAATGTTCTATGAAGTAAGAGGACACTTTCCCTTTGAACCCATCATCATACAGTATTGGCTTCATACCAATGAATCCAAAATGAATACCAAACTTGTCCTACTTTGAAAACATACCTAGAATGCAAGTCTAACTTTACGTCCAAATATACTTAACAAAAACTTTCGATGAACTCTCATGTCAAACTAACAACACCATCAATGACATTGAATGTACCAACAGTGAATATATTTATGTTCCTGAATTTGAAATTTGCCCTCCGGGAAACTGAGGAAAATATATTTTACATTCTCAGACAAACATTAACTGCTCTAAATGCCTGGTGATATATCACTTCCAACCAAGATGGTCAGTTATAGAAGTGGACCATAACACTGCCACCAGTGTGTTGGGAATACACTCACTGGTCTGAAGCTTATTGCTTCTATTGAATTTAATTTGAATTTCGTACATTCTTTGTGTATGAAGCAGCAACGAGGCGTCTTCAACAGACAGAGTGTGCAGAGGCTATTGACATCTTTGAAATTGGTAGAAATCAACCTGCCGTATGCAATTCGTTAAATTTTCACAGCCTGTGATTAGCAGACTATGAAGCCCAACTCCAATTGTTGACGTTCGACGTCATAGCGTTCCACGTCAAGAGGACAAAGGTCGATCGATCCGGTCAGACTCGAACGCAAAAACGACCTCAAACTGCGAATCAAACGGAAAACTTGAGTACAAGTTACGGTTTGAAAACGTCTCCATGCAGCTCATCTCCATGTACGACAGCCCCTATAAATGAACATATTGCCAAGCGACGTCAACGTATATATATTGTTTTCAAATGAGTCCCGATTCACTTCGAATTTTCTGCACATGTGTGGTCGTGTCGTCCATATGACCGTAAAGCCAGTGTCAACCTGAGAGATCATGGCCGTTGATCGGTTATGGGAGGGGTGGCATCATTATGATTGAGCCAAACCCTCTTCATACTGTTTATGGAACAGTATCGGGACGGCACACTTACACACCGTTTGCAAGGCTTATGGGTCGACGTATTGTCTTTTATGACAACGGCCGACCCGTCAATGCTCACCTCCAGCAGAACATCCATAGAATGCCCTCAAACCAGGCCTGTTCCCCACGGAAAATGTCCGCGACATGACAGGGACATATGTGCGTTAACACCATAGGCCACCAACCACCTTTGGCGGAATTAGGTCAGGCGCTGCTAGTGGAGTGAGACAGACTCCTAGAAATCGCTTTTGTGAGACCCATACGCTGTCGACGAATGTTGAACGAATGTTTGGGGTATCACGCACTACTGAGAAAAGTCGACCTTGAAATGTCCCATCTTCTAGTCTCATATTTCAAAATTGTATCTACTGATTCTCCTATATGAATGAAACAAATAAGAAGCTAAAAATTGAGGGGGTCACTTAAACGAAATTACTATGGAATGACGAAGTATCTGACAATTTTCTGAATAAGCTCAAGGAAGTATAACGTCTACAACACAACTACTTTTAGATAAGCTTAATAAACTATTGTGGGGTCAACTAATGATTTTGTTTAAAAAAATGTTAGATTCATCATCTTGTTTGAGAAAAGAATTAAAACATAACATGATTAAAAAAAGACCACACTTAGTAAGGAGTATTTCATAAATGAGCATTCCAGGAATAATATTTACAACAATATTAAATGATAGATTTTCTAAATGGACGAACGTGCGTGATAATATTCCTAAATTTCAAGCTGGTTTTAGAAAGAAGTTATCTACCTCAGATCATATATTTACTTTTTATGCACTCCAACAGACTTTGTATGTACATAAATTCTATGTTGCATTTGTAGATTTCAAGAAAGCCGCTCTAAGTTATGGAAAAGTCTACGGGAAGTTGGACTACGAGGGAAATGGTCGCTATCATAAAAGCAATGTATTGTAATGTGAGGTCAGGTGTTCGTAGCAGGGAGGGTGAAACAGATTTCTTTGATTGTCCTTTGGGTTTAAGATAAGACTGTAGTTTGAGTCCTATTTTATTTTAATTTATGAACTAAATATTGAAATAGCTTCAAATGGTAAGCATGGATGTTTTCAGACCTAATAGAGGTTTTGATGTTACTTTATGCAGACGATGTCATTTTAGTATCAGATACTGTAGATGGTCTTCAAAGACAAGTAAATATCGCAAATGCATACACAAAAGAATGTGAACCTAGAAATAAGTAAAACTGTGACATTTAGGAAAGCAACATATCAAAGGTGCCACCGATGAAAGGTTTCATATATATTACATCTTTCACTATACATTTAACATGCACTAGCCGAAAGAAATGACATATATTTATTGAAGTTGCACGTTCTTATGTATTTATATGCAGTACAACCAGAAATGATTGAGAATTTAAAGATTGTAATTTTTTTATTGTTTTCACTCATTACTCACGTATTAAATATGAATATTAGCAGAACATAACTTCAGATTCAAAGACAGGTTAACAGTTAGTATTTTGTCAAGTCACCATGGGCAGCAATGCAGGCTTCAATGCGGCGGGGCATACTACTGATCAAAGAAGTTAGAAAGTCGTGGTCCATGCTGTCCCAATATCGGACCACCTCTTCTTTCATTTCAGCAATATTTGTCAGATTTTTCTTATTGACACTTTCTTTCATAAGTCCCCAAACATTTTCTATTGGATTTAGGTCAGGGCTATAGCTTGACCAATCTAATAATGTCATATTTTGGGTCCGAAACCAGGCATGTGATGTAGATATAGCTGGCTGGCTGGCTGGCTTGTCTTTAGCCTAATACAATAACGTTTATGAATATAATTCATTTAACTTTGTAAGCATTACCGTATGTGTCTGGTGTGTTGGTTTTAGCATCTCTGACTGCTGACTGTGCATGCTGTCGCCAACATATGTTGAGCGTTCTCGGGGTATCAGTATTATAGCAAGGTAAAGTTGTGTACACACTTGAAGCCAGTAAATCTAGCAATTAGGATTACTGCTACCTTATTTATTTGCTTCTAACAATTTCTGCAACTCAAACAACACGTCTTCATCCGGGTATCAGCTAATTGCGGGAACAGCTGGCCAAATTTACGATGCCACTATCTGATGTGAAGGTGGTAGGTTGGGAGTTTCGATAACTTGTGTAATCAGTGACACTTATTTACGATAGCTTTTGAGTGGAAGCATGATTATATAAACCCACTGAAACGACTGCCGTGGACGTGGTCACTGAGCAGCAAGAGTGGCTCCTGATCAATCCATTTGGGTCTTCAATTCCAACTTTGGATATCCGACGTAAGTATATTTATCATATACCACGTGGGTTGATTATCGGGTCAATATCTGGGATCGGGTTAAGTTTTGTTGGAAACGACCTCCATTCAGAACGGTTGGTTATCATATAACACCAGTTAAGATCTGACTCCTTTCCCCTTCCCATTTCCTCAGGGTCACTTGAAATTTTGTTTCCAGGATCTGATAGTTTTGTAGTGAGAAAATGAAATTTGATGATACATTCCTTCATGACGTTTACCAACAAATTACTTTTATCAATATCAAGTGTTCCGGCTTTACATACACTACTGGGGCTCAAACTCTTGACCAATGGACTGACTGACTGAGTTTGGTTTGCCGCTTTTAGCAATATTCCAGCAATATCACGGCGGGGACTGGTGAGACCAAATGCATTAGAAGAGTCTAATGAGAACGTTTTATTTTCAAATTTTGTTCCTACATTGTGTTCTCTCTTTTGTACACCCGCTGACCATACACCTGTACACCCGTACACCTGAAACAGTTGTATAAAATCAATGGTTCTATTGAACAATCAGATAAATTCCCAAATTAGGTGGGGTGGGTGGGGTGATGATTTTTCGGGGGGGGGTGTCACCCGTTTTGTTCTGGGGAGGTTTGTTTTGTGTGTGTATGCGTGCGTGTGCGTCATCTTCGTACACATATATTACGGTTTGGGGTTGGTGGGCGTGGTCAGCAATTTTGTACATGACAAGCAGGCGGGGTGGGGGTGGGGGTAGGGATGGGGGTGGGTTTTAGTGAGTGGCCACTTATATATAAAGTGTTATCTTTTTAACCCGTAACCCACGCTTGAAATGTATTCTATTAGGATTGTTTCGACGGGGTAGGGTTTAGGGTTTAGGGTTTAGGGTAGGTTTCTTTTCATAAAAAACATAGGCCTATATGCTTAGGCATAGAATGATTAAAAAAGAATACGGGGGTTACGGGAGGATGTCTTCCCCATATAGTTTAGGGGGGAGCATTCACATTTTACATGCACCCCCATAACCCCCACCCACACCCATAAGTTATAATAGGTCCCTTAGCGTTAGTCAGAAGAGTATGACAGTGGTACGAGGTAGTCATCTATGAGACACATCAATACATAACAAGCAATTCAATTTAATTTAATTTAGATTACTTCATTATCTGTGAATTTAACTTGCTTAATATGACTACCAATATCCCAATATTTTCGAAAAAGGAACCGCTAGATAGGCGGTAATGAGTATAGCTTTTCTGAGTACAAATGCAGATATAGACAAATGCTATGCAGGGCACGATACTTACAAGAAGGCCAGTTTGCTTCAAAATCCACTCCGGCCTGGAACAGAATAGTCGCAGCTCGCTGAGAAGTCAAGAGCATCTCCTTGTCGCAATTCATTTGCTGTAATGGCAGTTTAAATCAGGTGGTTTTACATTGCACGTGATTGTTTAGAGCTCGACTTGCACGGGATTCTTGTGCAGGAACGTATTTTGCACACTTATAGTCCGTTTGGGTTCAAATGAGAACGACAAATGATTAAATAACTCGAAATTGGGATAAGTGCACAAAATATAAGTAAGACACATGGTCCTGAAACCTCTGTACCTAACAGGATCTGAAATCGGACGTTTTATTATCGATCACGGAAAAAGTTGTTTAGTAAGAAACCATCATGTAATATTGTGCTATTTTCACGCTTCACACCGGGGGATGACAAACGGTTGATGGAACAGCGCCTGACCAGCTAGGGTCATCTCACCTGGCTGTGCTGCGTTGCATCTGAACGTGCTTGTTTGTCATCTGACCAACTCTCGGTTCCATACCGGGAACAAGGCTCGGCTTCGCCTCACCTTATTCCCGGTATCGCACCTCGAGAAGAACTTTTCCCTTGGCAGATCGGGGTTGACAGCCCGATGCCTCTACCTCACTGGTTTTATTGGAAACATCTTCCATAAATGAATACAAAACCATTCATTTTTTATTTTAGTATATAGAAGTTAATGATATTACAACTAGAATAAGAATGTTTTTGACCTTGTGGTATATGTGAAATAACAACCTTAAGCTCGTGATTCGCCTGACGGCTCGCGCGTTGAAAACCACTCGCTTGGCGGTTATTATTTCACCCATACACATAGAGTTTTTACCTTCGTAGAATCTGGGAATATGGGTATGGAAGGTAACTGACAAAGAATTCAGATATCCGGAAGCCTGTTTATCCGGACAATAATTGATAAAACGCATGTTTCCGGTTGAGCGAGGTTTGGGTATAATGAGTAGTGTTAGTAAACGACAAACAAACCGATAACGTAGTATCGCAATTCGATAATTATGAAACATGAGGTTATCAGTAATAAATATGTAAATTGGCACGGCTCCCACAGACGAACGCTATGAATACACAGTGCTCATTGTTTTGGGATACACAATGACATTTAGAAAGTGGTCAAATGTAACAAATGTTATATTTGGGATTACACTTTCTCAGTACACGATACGACTTTCGACCGTGGAGTGAGTGAGTGAGTTGGGTTTTACGCCACACTCAGCAATATTCCAGCTATATGGCGGCGGTCTGTAAATAATCGAGTCTGGACCAGACAATCCAGGTGTCAACAGCATGAGCATCGATCTACGCAATTGGGATACAATGACATGTGTCAGCCCAGTCAGCGAGCCTTACCACCCAATCCCGTTAGTCGCCTTTTACAACAAGTATAACTTTCCGAAGACCAATTCTAACCCGGATCTTCACGGGTCTTTCGACCGTGGAAGCCGTGCCAATTGAGGGGTACACAAAGTCCGTGGTCTAGACTACCAGAACGACTTCCATTTTTGTGGAAGCCGCGGTGGCTGAGTGGGTTATGCGGCTGACATTGTGTGCTGGCGATTATTTGCCTGACGCTGAGGGTGTGTGTTCGAATCCCGAATGGGACTCACCCAAACAAAAGTATTATAATCTGTACACTGTGAAAGTGTAAACCCAAATGTTACATTTGTCCACTTTCTAAACGGCATGGTGTATTCATGAGGTTACCAGGATAGTCAGAACTACATCTAACAAGCAAGATAAACATTTGAAGATTGCTTTACCAAAAGCGTTCCTCAAAAGTTTATTTTGGGATTGTTTGAAGATTTTCTCAATGCGTTTTCAAAAGATTAATACACGTTTCCTTATGTATGACAGCTTATGATACATCGTACACACCATTTGGCCCAAAGTGCATTATATTCCTAATTGGTTTCTGAAGTTACTTCAAGGAAGAAAATAGTCACAGTACATGTTATAAAGTAACGTTACAAGTATAATTAGATGACGAAATGAGACTTATTGTGACGTGGGACCGTGAAGATCCGGGTTAGATTTGGACTTCAGTAATCCCTGCTTGTCGTAAGAGGCGACTAACGAGATCGGGTGGTCAGGCTCGCTGGCTTGGTTGACACTTGTCATCGGTTCCCAATTGCACAGATCGATGCTCATGCTGTTGATCACTGGATTGTCTGGTCCAGACTCGATTATTTACAGACCACCGCCATATAGATGGAATATTGCTAAGTGCGGCGTAAAGCTAAACTCACTAACTCACTCATACCTGATATAACTATTTCCTTCATATCTGATATCATGTACTATTACCTTTCTGTCAGATACCATATAATATTACTTTGTTATTACATATCATATACTGTTACCTTCATATCAGGTAACATTTTCTGTTACCTTCATATCAGATATCATGTACTTGTGCCTTATATTACCTTCATATATGATGCCATGTACTGTTACCTTCATATCAGATATCATGTACTTGTGCCTTATATCACCTTCATATATGATACCATGTACTGGTATGTACCATGTACCTTCATATCAGATATCATTTACTTGTGCCTTATATCACCTTCATATATGATGCCATGTACTGTTACCTTCATATCAGATATCATTTACTGCAATGTATTTCCTTTATATCAGATACTCGAGTGGATAACCTTCGTAGCAGATATCTTGTACTCCAGTGTATAACCTTGACAGCAGATGACCTGCATTCCAGTGTATAACCTTCACAGTAGATGGCTTTCACTTCAGTGTATAACCTTCACAGCAGATGGCCTGCATTCCAGTGTATAACCTTCACAGTAGATGGCTTTCACTTCAGTGTATAACCTTCACAGCAGATGGCCTGCATTCCAGTGTATAACCTTCACAGTAGATGGCTTTCACTCCAGTGTATAACCTTCACAGCAGATGGCATGCATTCCAGTGTATAACCTTCACAGTAGATGGCTTTCACTTCAATGTATAACCTTCACAGCAGATGGCCTGCATTCCAGTGTATAACCTTCACAGTAGATGGCTTTCACTTCCAGTGTATAACCTTCACAGCAGATGGCCTGCATTCCAGTGTATAACCTTCACAGTAGATGGCTTTCACTTCAGTGTATAACCTTCACAGCAGATGGCCTGCATTCCAGTGTATAACCTTCACAGTAGATGGCTTTCACTTCAGTGTATAACCTTCACAGCAGATGGCCTCAGTGTATAACCTTCACAGTAGATGGCTTTCACTCCAGTGTATAACCTTCACAGCAGATGGCCTGCATTCCAGTGTATAACCTTCACAGTAGATGGCTTTCACTTCAGTGTATAACCTTCACAGGAGATGGCCTGCATTCCAGTGTATAACCTTCACAGTAGATGGCTTTCACTCCAGTGTATAACCTTCATAGCAGATAACTTGTACTCCAGTACATAACCTTAATAGCAGATAACCTGTACTCCAGTGGATAACCTTCAGAGCAGATAACCTGTACTTCAGTGTATAACCTTCACAGCAGATAACCTGTACTTCAGTGTATAACCTTCATAACATATAACCTGTACTTCAGTGTATAACCTTGATATCAAATAACATGTACTCCAGTGGATAACCTTCATAGCAGATAACCTGTACTTCAGTGTATAACCTTCATAGCAGATAACCTGTACTTCAGTGTATAACCTTCATAACATATAACCTGTCCTCCAGTGTATAACCTTCATAGCAGATAACCTGTCCTCCAGTGTATAACCTTCATAGCAGATAACCTATACTTCAGTGTATAACCTTCATATCAGTTGACCTGTACTCGATTGGATAACCTTCATAGCAGATACCCTGTACTCGATTGGATAACCTTCATATCAGATAACCTTTACTCGATTGGATAACCTTCATATCAGATAACCTGTACTTCAGTGTATAACCTTCATAGCAGATAACCTATACTTCAGTGTATAACCTTCATATCAGTTGACCTGTACTCGATTGGATAACCTTCATAGCAGATACCCTGTACTCGATTGGATAACCTTCATATCAGATAACCTTTACTCGATTGGATAACCTTCATATCAGATAACCTGTACTTCAGTGTATAACCTTCATAGCAGATAACCTATACTTCAGTGTATAACCTTCATATCAGTTGACCTGTACTCGATTGGATAACCTTCATAGCAGATACCCTGTACTCGAGTGGATAACCTTCAGAGCAGATAACCTTTACTCGATTGGATAACCTTCATATCAGATAACCTGTACTTCAGTGTATAACCTTCATAGCAGATAACTTGTACTTCAGTGTTTAACCTTCCCAGCAGATAACCTGTACTTCAGTGTATAACCTTCAGAGCAGATAACATGTATTTAAGTATATAACTTTCATGGTAGATAACATTTACTCGAGTGTATAACCTTCATAAAGGATAAGTCCCTAGTATGGTGATCTACCGTCAGTTGTTGGCGATCAATAGCCCAATTTGTACATTGTATTGTCTAAAATAGTTTTTATTTAATTTTAATGATGCATGCTAGCTAGTTTTAACTTTTTTTGTGATACTTTAGTTATTTTACAGTCCGTCGGTGACTGGTTATTTAACTACTTGTATTTATTGTGTATGTACAGCATTTCTCATCACTATATGGCTGAAATACTGCCGAGGTGACGTTAAATTTTAACTCACTCACTCACTCAATCATAACAGTTAACCCGTGGGATCTCCTTTAGAAGAGACGTATACTATCATTATCTCAGTCACCAATAGCGGTATATTATTTGTTTTAGGCCCTGAAAGAGGATGAAACTGCTGGGACTATCGTCCATTATTTTAGCAGGTATTGTTTGTTCATATAACCTAACAGTGTCATGATAATGTAATATATTCTTTAGTAAATCCATGTAAGATAACTTGATCAACTATAAATTATTTATATATATTCCATGTAACCCCTAATATACGAATATATCTGTTGCAGTAAGCGTACACTATGCATCCTGCTGTTGCCGACGTAAGTATTAAGTTCTCACACCAGTGAAAATGAATTATTATGATTACAACCAGTACATGATATGTACTGATTTCTGTATCAACGAAAAGAACATATTCAGTTCAAGTATGGGAGTCAAGCCTCAAATAGAAGCTTAAAGTCAATACACAATGCTTTTAGTGTACAACGTCACTGTCCAAATGGCGGCTTAAGAAACGTTTGGGTCATAATGAAGTTCGGGGTAGCCTAGTGGTTAAAGCGTTCGCTCCTCACACCGAAGGCCCGAGTTCGATTCCCCAAATGGGTACAATGTGTGAAGCCCATTTCTGGTGTTCCCCGCCGTTATTTTTCCGGAATATAGCTTCTCACTCACTCATCCAATACTTTCAAATATAGGAGATGCATGTAAGAGGAATCTCCTCACGTCAGAATAATCAGTTTTTTAAAACATTCTCAAAATGAGCATTTAACAAAGCAGTAAGCAGTGAATTAGCACCTGATAGTTAAGTGATAACTAACATCATGAGCATCGACTCACGATATTCGGATAATTGACATACATTGACAAGAAAGCAGCCCTGACCATACAAGCCATTCGTCACCTCCTACTATAAGCGTAGGCTGCTGGGGACTTGTATTCTCACCCAGAATCCCTCAGTGTAACCAAATGATTTGATTAGATTTGTTGTTTGAAAACTGTAGTAAGCAGTTTTCCAGCTATACAGCAGCGATCTGTAAATAGTCCAGGACTAGTCAATCCAGTGATTGATATAAGGGTCATGGAACTCCGCCGTTTGGACACGACTACATGTGTCAATCAAATCAGCGAGCATGACCGCCCGATCCCGTTAGTCGCCCCTTTCAACAAGCATGGGTTGTTAAACACCATTTCTAAACATGATCTTCGCAGGTCGGCAATTGACCACATTGTGGTATGATAATATCACATGTATTTTCACTATCCTGTTCCAGCAACACCCCCCAAGCGCCCACCGGATCCATGGTGCCCAAGTATAAACCCCTATCAGTATGCAGACAGAGGAAAGGCGACTGCAACTGTGCACTGGCAGCTTCCAGTGACAGGGTGACTATGCCTATATATATATACTTTTACATTACACAGACTCATATCCATATATACATCATGAGCAACGGTAGACGCAAAATGCATCAACAGTCAGCGAACCCAACCACCCGATCCCGTTAGTCGCCTGAAACCAAATTTTAACTCGGATCTTTAAGGGTATGCCTCGTTTTTAATGACATGAATATCTTGTGTTTTTCAGCGAATGTTACAGGGTGACCTTGGTGGGTGGTTACCCACCTGGTTCTCCTTTCTCTGAGGGGAGTCATTGCATACGGTACAGAACCTCCAACCCTTGCACTGGCCTGTGGTCAGACTGCGCCAGGTGTTTTACGGTGAACGGTTGGTCCGTTGTTTCATTCTCGATTGGAAAATTGTATTCATATTGTATACTTTATTCATTACCAACATCTCTGGTGATTTCTGTAAGGGCAATTGCCTTAATTATGGCCTTGATGTCGTCAGGCCCATGAATTTTCGAACTTCTCGTGTGTTTCATCCAAGAGTCCGACCTGCATCGCTTTATTGTTTGACTTTCAGCTGGTGTCATGCTGCAAGATGGGGACAAACCGAACATACTTAGATCATAGAAAAGTATAATACTTTATGGATAACAACTTATATGTATCATACTAAATAAAGAAGTTGTATCCTTAAAGCATTATACTTTTCTATTATCCATACTCAGATCAGACCAAATCATAACGTGTTGTGCGTTTATCACACTTTTCAATTCACGTATCCATTTTAGGTGCATTTTATTTATATGTAAACTCTTCATTTTGAAAAGGTCGTTTTCAAATATATACCACCTGTATCGCATTATAGTCATAAGAAAGATACCCTCAAAATTCCGAACATCGTGCTTGTCCACAAAAGATAATTTCGTATACCTTTTGATATTACTGTGACTTTACCCCTGACATTAAAGTTACTGTACAGAATTTAGTGAGTTTAGTTTTACGCCGCACTCATCAATATTCCAGCTATAGGGCGGTACTGTACAGAAAACATAAAGGCATTTAATAAACATGCTGTATTTATTTTGTGATACTGAAGACAAATACATTGTCATTTTGTCCTATATCAGTTCGCAGGTGCTCCATACTGCCTCCTCCAAACAACGGAAAGGTGAATTGTCTTCAGGGGAGAAAGTTTGGAGACACATGCAGCTACTCCTGTGACAAAGGCTATAATCTTGTTGGATCAGCACAGACTACTTGCGAGGTCAACGGATGGTCGACAGCGGCTCCGACCTGCAAAGGTATGTGATAAATACAGTGCAATATCTGAATCGGATCTCTGTTAATGTATCATCACGAAATTTATTACGTTCAGTTATGATCAAATATTATATGTTTAAACCGACCCAATACGTGTAATGGTTTCTATGGTGTAAATAGGTTCTGCGTGTATTACATGACTTGACTGGGCTGTTTCTGCTTTCAGTAAACTCTTGCAGTACTTTGGTTCTTCCAAAGAATGCAGTCAAGTTTGAGTGTGATAATAACTGGCTTTATGGGAGCGTGTGCCAGTTGACATGTGATCGAGACAAGGGATACGCTTCAACAAAAGCGAGATATGCTAAATGTGGTGAACAAGGCTGGTCCACAACTGATTTTCAGTGCACAGGTTTGTATTGTGAATGATTGCATCTAACAGCAATGTCATAATACTTGAATATTCATAGAAATGTTCGTAATACTAAACCACAACCTACACCTCACATTATAAATAAAACCCCTTATTTAGTGCAAATTTCAACATGTTTCTGTCAGCTGAGATGTATTTGAGCAATATATAAACATAGCAATTAAACATTAATTTAGTTAGATCATGGTCTTTCAACAGGATAATATTTCAGTTAACTTTTTAACCCTATAGTATTAAAGATCATTGTCCATCTTGACCGGTTCTCTAACGTACCCTAATAATACCCGATGTCACTGTTTATAGTCTCATCGCAATCATACTTGCGTTTGTATTTTAAAACACACACTTGTAGATGGGAGAGTGAGTGAGTGGGTGAGTTTAGTTTTACGCCACACTCAGCAATGTTCCTGCTATATGACGGCGGTCTGTAAATAATCGAGTCTGGACCAGACAATCCAGTGATCAACAGCATGAGCATCGATCTGCGCAATTGGGAACATTTGTCAACCATGTCAGCGAGCCTGACCACCCGGTCGTGTTAGTCGCCTCTTACGACAAGCATGGGTTACTGAAGGTTCATTCTAACCCGGACCTTCACGGGTAGATGGGAGAGTGACCTCCCTGCAATAATTATATATCTCGGTATATCAATGAAATATGTGGAGAAATCCATAAAATGGTGCATGCCCTATACGTTGCTGAAATCCGTGGGCCTGACAATGCAAAGATCACAAACGTGGATTATTCGTGGATTCGGTCGTGTATTTTGATCAACGTTTATCAGATCCTGCCACCTGTCTGTCGAGACGTTTTAGCTAACTGACCCTCCCTGTTATATGTGCCTTTCATAGCTCATTTAAATCACATAATTATGTTCACTCCCTGCATGTTGAAAAAACGTAGAACAGGAATTAGTAAACATAGGTCCGATTATATGCTAACACAGAAAGCATGGTGACAACAAACCAGCTTAGAGTCGTATGAAAAGTTAGCCAAGGAAGAGAAGGTACTCACGTCTACTACTTCCTTTACATGCTGCCTTTCACTCATGAACTTTGTGTTGTAGATGTGGAGCCCCCGGTTTTCCATAATTGCCCATCACAGAAGATACATAAGACTTCTGACCCTGCTAGTAAACTTACAAGTGTGATATGGCCGAAAATATCTGTGTCGGACAACTCAGGTCAACAACCTACCATGACACCAACGTCTCCATACACTGTGACCAGTATCGGCGGCAGTTTCCCAGAGGGAACACACATAGTGCGGTTTGATGCTGAGGATGCAGCTGGAAACAAGGCAACCCAATGTATCTTCATCGTTGAAGTTGAACGTATGTTATCCATGGTGCATACAATGTACACAGATGATTTCTGGAGGGATTCTAATTACAATTTTTAATTATCATTTGCTGTTTAAGGGACTCAGCAATTGGGATACGATGACATGCATCAAACTGTGTCAGCGATTCTGACCGTCCGATCCCGTCAGACGCCTTGTACCACAAACATATTTTTTGAAGACAGTTCCAAGCAGGATCTTCACAGATCTTTTATTAAGAATATTTTCCAAGTAACAATTCTTGCCAAATGATACGAGTACATCGATGGATGACATTTGTAAATGCCAGATAATCTGTCAAATCACCGGTTTCTCTTGCCAAACTTGGAATATGTACATGCCGCCGGAATAAACTACATTGGCCGCCAAATAGCTGGAATATTGCTTAGTGCGGCGTTAATCAACCAACCAACCAACTACCTTGATAGCCAAAACAAGTACATGTAACGCTTAAGAAAATATTTGGAGAATTATATGAAAATTTGAATATAATTTCCACAACAATGCCCCTGTGCCATTCTTACTGCCAATGTTATTATTATAAGATCATCATCATCATCATCATCAAATGAATTGTATTGAAGCATTTCTTTTCTTAGGAGTTGAGTGTGACCCTCCGACAATAAATGGAGAATACATTGACACCCCCAGCTGTCTTCCTCCCTTTGATGTTGGCAAACAATGTCGAGTGGAGTGTGCTCTGGCACTCCCCCTGAAAGGGAAGAGATACATAACCTGCAGCACCGACACCGGAAGTAATCCTGCATCTACGTTCTGGGACTGGGGACAGAATGACTCCCCACCTTTGAAACAACCATATTGCCAAGGTAACGAATACTGAAATCAATATATGAATTTTGGTGAAGTCTGAAATTAGTACTTGAATTATATATATTTGAAATGTGTTTCCGCTTATAAGACACGTGTAACTCCAGCATATTCAAGACGAGTGTAATATCAATTAGAGATTATATTTCACAGGTTCCATTGAGCACACTTATAAATCTGAGAAACATGATTTGTCGTACTGGGACAGTTGCAATATTGTCTGGACAAGGTAATCCAATGGTGAGACGAGTAACGGTCCACAAAATCGGAGCGTGACGAAACGGAATCACAGAGCTTGGCCATCTACTCTGAATTATCTCTAATAGCTGGCTTGAGGTTGTTAATGACGTGTTCTAAACTTGGTTCCGACCGACCTCATTCTACAGATATTAAACAATTTACACCCTCCGTAAACTCGACGCCCTTTCTGATTTCTAGTTATTCTTCATATCCTTTTGTATATTTGGAACGTTAGCCCGAACAGTCAGATGTTTAAAACTGTCCAAATATGTGTGAATTTCTAAAGTGCGTCTGATATTTTGACAGTAAAAGATGTATGCAATCTTCTGTGCTTTACAGTTGACATGTGTACGAACCTTACCGCACCAAAGAACGGCGCTATTTCCTGTGGGTTCTGGACTGGACAGCGGCTCTGCAACGTCCACTGTAACAAACAGTACGACATTCCAGAATATACCGATTATGAATTCAAGTGTTATGGTGACTCTAACAATGATCCAACATGGCATCCAGGTGTCTACCGTCTACCGCATGAATGTACACGTGAGTGGTATTATGCTAATTTATGTTTGTTGGGGTGAGGTGGTTGTGCGCTTTTTGTGCTTGTTTGACTAGTGTGATGTGCTGTATGATTAATTGTTTTGTTTTGTGTGAGGGGCGTGGGAGTAGTTTCGTAGATGGATAAGGTAGGAAGGTAGAGGACAAATTCTTTTGGCATCCTAAATTCTTTACAATCGTATCTTTTGTATGTTATCATAAGCGAGCTCAAATCTCGCAGTTAGTAGAGATTCCTTGTGGATGTGGAACGGGTTTTCTGTACATGTGGCAAATTATTTCATCCAGGGACATTAGTCAGATCTGAAAATTCGGATTATTTAATAATAACGTGCGTGATCACCCTATGAATAATGGCTTTCTCTGAAAGAGGAATATTATCATTGTTTAAATTGTTATTAAGTCAACTTCATGTTTGTAAATTGCAGAGTTCTTTGACTTGCCATGGAACAAACGCCGTCTGCCAGTATACCTAACCTACGACGGACCTTGCAACAGTGCCATTGATGACATTAAAAAGGGCTTCATTAACCAAGCCAAAAATGTTACAAGTCGCATATGTTCTGGAACAGCAGCATCGCACTGCAACGTGAACAACGTACAGGTGTATTGTGGCGGAACAAGGAAAAAACGATCACTTCCAGCAGGTGTCCGGCGTTCACGACGATCAACATCAAACTACATCATCTTTGACATCGACGTTGAAATAGTGGATACATCGGGTCTATCCAAAGATGAGCAAGTCACCAAATGCAGAAGCACCCTCGATAATCTCTTCCAAGAATTGCACAAAGACTCTGCATTTACGGCAAACGGCATACGGATATCACCTTCAGGACTTACCAAGATGCCAGAAAAGAGCCTTTGTCAGAATGGATTCGTGAAAAGCAGGACCTCTGGATCAAAGTGTGGTGAGGTCTTTTACTCGAAGTATTTTGGCTTGTTGGAGTAAGAGACTGGCCATTTATATCTTAGTCGCAAATACATTTTGTCATTAGTCATAAATCTGATCAACACGAATGGGTATGTCTTAAAGTAGTAACGGCGGCTGAGACTGTAGATTGACTTGCGTTTTATAACATGGTCATCATTTGATCTTAAACACTTCTCTGTGGAGTAGTTGAAAGTACAGTTTGTCATTCGGCATGAATCAGTAGAAGGGGTATGTTTTAAAGAACTAACGGTGGCTGAGGCGTGGCGAGACGTGCTTTTTGTGACATGTTCATTACATGATCACATTTACTTGATCTAGGTTGCGTTTCTACAATATTCTGTAATGTACACTCTGGCCCAGATGTGAATGAAGGTGCAAAATCAACAGTCACTGTTAACGTCAATCATTAACGTCATTTGGAAGCTGTTTGCTTCTCGAAACGTTAGTGAATATCGCTGGGCACAACACGTATATAATCAGTTGTGGACGATGTACACATCATGACATTGGTATGTGTATCGTTATGATTTTACATGCCTAAGAACTTCTTTTATTACCTACGAGGTCGAAAATATCGGGGTTTTATATGGCAATTACATGAGTGCAAATTTGAATCTCTAATGACGTCGTGGAGATGTATTGGACTTGTGTTTGTATATGCGATATATGATTCCAGTTCCATGTCCAAAAGGAATGTATTATCGGGAGGAAAAGTGTGAGTTATGTCCCCTTGGCCACTATCAGGACATCACAGGATCAACTGAGTGCAAGAAGTGTCCGGCGGGCTATACCACTCTCCAAAAGGGCAGCTTCATCGCAAGTCAATGTAAAGGTAAGGCTTACAGACTGTCATGGACTATGTCAAAGCATACTTGCTTGGGAATGTTCTGATATTTTGATCTCTCATATATGAGATCACACAAGAATAGAATTGTAACAATGTGATTGTATGAGTTGTCCCGATACCCGATAGAATTGTAACAATGTGTTTGTATGAGTTGTCCCGATACCCGACAGTAGTGGATCGATGACGAATGAAAAATGTAACTCTGCACTCCTACAGACTTTTGATTATCTACATAGCATAAATGAAGTGTTGCTATTATAATTGACAAGTTTGCTCGAATCAGCAATATTCCAGCAATACAGCACCAACCAGGAAATAAGTAAATATGGCAAAAAAACCCACATCGAGTCGAAAGCATCTACCATCGGGACCAAAGACATCAACCAGATCGCAGAGTCTGATCACCAGATTGGTGATTCTTTCTGGTAGGGCAGGACATACTCTCCCTTTTTGTGAACACGTGGTGTCATCATTCAGTTTTAGGTATCCCATTCATATGATATTAACATCAGTAGTAACCTTTAAGCCAAATTGATTCTGTTTCTGAGGAAAGTCAAGATGGTTATTAATTTTTGGTGACCTATATCATTCTTCACTGAAGACGCCAAAGGGATGTCAAGAGTAGAATCATCCATTACGAACTTACCTTTCAGAAATGTGCAAGCCAGGATATCTGTCTTCCAATGGTTTGAGTCCATGTTCACCTTGTCGTCGAGGACGTTATCAACCTGAACAAGGACAGACGCTGTGTATACGATGTCCCACTGGATTCACCACAGAGACAGTTGCCTCCTCCTCTAAATCACATTGCGTTTGTAAGTTGCCCTCAAGCTTTTCTCTTAATCTAAACATCCACGCTGCATCTTCGATTACCAGTGGCCACCAAATTCACTGCTCGATAATATTCCCATAAGGACCATTGTGCCTAAAATATGTTGTTGAAACTGTGGTCACCTTTATATATATGTGGTAACATACCTACATGCACATGAAACTGGAGAGATTTTGTCTGATGATGCATTACATGTTCTTATCAACTGTAATGTATTTGCACAAGAGGTGTTAGGTTGGGTAGTCAATTCAACACTTTTCCCCCTTCTTACTGGATTATTGTTAAAACTGATAACATTCAAACATTAGTTTTTGACATGTTCTGATAACTGCATACTTGTAAGCTTTCATTTGCATTTCTGCATCGATGACTCTTTCATCACCATTTATGACATATACTGTTCTATTATCCATATGGCGAACCATAACCAGTGTCATAAATATCATATGTGCACATGTGCACATATTACTTTTGCCTAGCAACCATTGTTTCTGTGTTTCGTCGTCTGTGACGTCATTAAACAATTGAACATGACGTCAATGAACTGGGCAGTCACACTTGCTTACCGTGTTTTACTGCACAAATGCACATGAATAAAATGGATAATAAAGAAATTAGTACACCAGCAAGTGTGCCACACGACTTCTACGAAACGAGTGCGAAATTTTCTATTGCCCGAGCGAGAGCGATACAAAATTTCGCATTCGTTTCGTATAAGTCGTATGACACACTTGCTCGTGTAATAATCTCTATGTACCCAATACATTATCTGCATTTGCAGAGTGTCCTACATGTTGACCGTTTAAGCTAATAACCATTCCCAATAAAAACATAACTCGAAACATAATTCAAGAATTTCTCAACTATTTCACAGCTTACGATATCAGTATGGAGGGCCCTGTCAATGTCAACATGTCACCAGGCTGCAGATCTGAACTTAGAGAGTTTACCCTTGGTATGTGGGTCAAAGTCGACTCGAAGGGCAATCGTATTCAATTTGAGATGTTCCTGGAAGACACTGTTTCCGTCTCCGTGTCACTCTCATCTGACATTGCAGTAACAGCCGGAAGGTAATCACATTTGAAATATCACTTAACATCATGTACGTAAACACATGGTATCCTTGTGAGTTTCCTAAATTACATTAATTAGATATATATCTTAAGGTATTTTTGACAAATGAATTTACAATTAGGGCATAAGTCATTTTAACGGATTTAATGTCAAGGAATATATATTTAGCCTGAACAATAAGTTAAAGTTTCTTATACTGGAAACGCGGGAGATTGGTTCCAATAATGAAGGACTGGGGTGAGGCACTATGGCTACGACATAAAAAAGAAAACAAAATATGAAAGAAAGGTCAACGATGTGTTTACCAATATTTCAAGATGACACTAATTTATTTAGCTCAGACATATTTATTTTAACTGTCATATGATACCAGATTTCGAAACATTTCACCTAAATGCCCGAGATAACAACATACGTAACAACTCCGATCACTCGATTATAAATGAGAACCTCTGCAGCTCTTCATTGAAGTATAGTTTGTTCTTGCAGTGCCTCGCAATGACATTTCAGCTTTATGCCTTTAGTAAAGCCACAGTCTTCCTGTCATCATTGGATTGGAAATGATCTTCTCAAAACCTTCTTCTACACCGCCCCTTTAAAACACTGTTTGTTCTTTCAGCAAGCATATAGTCAAGAAGAATGTTCTGTTAAACACTTGGGTACACGTGGCCATTGTTTGGACAACAGAAAATGTAACAATCTTCAAAAGTGGGCATCAGATTCACCATCAACCCTTTTCCTCGTCAGTTTCTACAATCCCTACCAACACAAGGATGAGAATATCAGTCCAAGACAAAGTCAGTAAGTTGAAACTTAAAGCCTGTTTTTGCAGGAGTTATTGGATGTTTGATGCCAGGGAACATCTTTTGGAATAAATGACATGGTGAAAGTCGTATAGTGAATGGATGGCATTAGAGCAGGCACCACAGTCCATTTAAGAACTATATGCTTGAACTGATGTACCTTTTCTACCCATTCCATGAATAGCTGATGTCATTCATGATTTCCGATGTTCCATTCATGTGATTACCATAGCTATTTGCCCTTTACACCAAATAGGATCTGATTCTAAAGATAGGTAAAACTGGGGATACATTTGCATACAAACGTATCACTGACTTGGTATCATGAAATATTACGGAGCACATTCCACGCAGACATGCTCTGATCACATAACGTTTTCAACCATAGAACTGAAAATCACATTATATGATAATTGTCCTCGCGTTTGTGTGTTTTCTGAAAGTGAATATCCTGTAAATGAATTGTCTATTTTGCTAATTAATTAACTGTCTTTATCGCAGACCAAAGCTCGCTGAATATAACGTTAATATCTAATACAGGATACTTACAACCCTAAACACCCAGTGATTACGTATCCATATGATGTTTCTATAATATCCTTAAAGTAAATAACGGTTAAGATATATTCCTTAATTTCTTCTCCAAGGCTACTTCTTGAAACGTTATCAGATGTAAGATGAATGTAATCAGATGATAATCTTCGAATCCGTGTCTACCCAAATGATGTTACATTATAATATATCCATGTGGTAAAAATGCGTTTCTTTCATGAAGCTGTTCAACTGAAGAGTTTAATGTTGGTGTCTTCAACTGATACCGCCACAGTTGCAACCCTAGCTGGAACGTGCGAGGCAATGTTGCCAAACGCTATATTTTCGGTGGAAAACCTCAACATGACATATCTCGACCGGGTTCTGGAGGTCATTCCATCCTCATGCCAGGGTGAGACTGATTGTGCAGTTCAGCTGCTTGCTTGAAACGCTGTCGTTCATTCATGATGGAATAAACTGTATTTATCTGTTCCGAAAATTAGTTTTTCTTAATTTTGTTCATGAATATATATCTCGGTATAATTATTAATAATAAATAAACGTTAATATGCTTGTCTTTGCTTTAGACCTAAAACCTAACTATAATGTGTTCACTGGATTACACAAAACCCCTCAAATTCTAAGAATCCTTTGATTGCGTAAATTCAATATTACCACAAGGAAATTACGTTGATCAAATAGATTTGATTACAATCCAAAATATTAACCTCGTCTAAGGTAGTGTAAGCACTAAAACCATTTGACTTCAATTCTCCGCTACACGATTAAACAATTACGTGAACTTAACTTCACATATTACATAGGTGTACTATTGAACACACGGAAAGTTACTTTACACATCGCTGCTTCTTGCAGTACCACTATTCTAAGATTATACTCAAATGTTTTTCCCGCAGAACTTGACCCATGTGAGGGATTCTGTGGCACATTTGGACGGTGTTCTTTGAACGCGTCCATGGCGCCACAGTGTCACTGCAGTGGAGGCTACTCTGACCCTCGGTGCCTGACCCCGCCAGACAGGTGTGCAGACAACGACTGTGCAGAGGGCTCAACGTGTGTGGCAGGACTGGGAGAAGGAGCTGAGTACACTTGCGCTTGTCCACCGGGGTTTACTGGAATGTTGTGTGATAATGAACAACGTAAGAGAACACATACCAACTTTACAAACTAGAGAAACGCGCGCTCGTGCGTGTGTGTATGTATGTATGTGTGTGTGTGTGTGTGTGTGTTTGCATACACGCGTATGAATTAACATTAATTTATTTTTTAATTTCTTGTACAAAGTTATATACAATAAAGACATAGAGTTTAACGCCATAAATTCTAAATTATCCCCGATGCGTGATAGTTGCTGCTTAACTAATACCTCCTATTTTAAATCGGTTATTTCTTTAAGGTTTTGACATGGCTAATATCTAAGGGGTCGATTAAGGTCGTTCACTAAGGTGTATGGACTATTGTAGGAGGTAGTGTTTCATCTATTATTTCAGGCCGGGTATTGTCTGACGTTTTGCATGTAATTGTGACATTTGCAAACACAGATGTATTGCTTGACAGAGATGACTGGAATTAACCGCAAGGCAGCTTGATACAATCAGTTTTGTAAATGATCCTTTCACAGCTGATGGTGAATGGGGCATGTGGGGTGATTGGGGGGCGTGTTCCGTGACGTGTGGACGTGGCTACAAAACACGACATCGTTCCTGCGACAGCCTACAAGACGGAAGCAAACCTTGTGTTGGCAACTACAGAAACACAGCAGTTTGTAATGCCGAGCCATGTCGAGGTAATTATTGTAAATTATCATTTTCTGTTTACAACATAACCCCACTGTAAATTTCACATCGATATGAAAGATCTAACCATGAAGACCTACTCTGGCTGATGACTTGGTTGCTGCATGCCATCGTATCAAATTTGCCTAGCTCGATGCTCATCATGTCAACCACTGGACACAGTTATTTACACACAGTCATCATATAGCTACACCAGTTCCACAGCAAACAAACAAGCTATATGATCTATTCGTCGTATTGTGTTGTGTTTCCATGATAGAAATGGTAATGGCTGTATTTTTGCATATTCAGGAGAAGAATATTTCACCTATTTTGTCACTCCGAGGTTCAGGTCGCTGAAATCGTCGTGGTAGTTTGTGAGCAGAGCCATTATCCCACAAGCTGTCTGTTTCTTTATCTTAATCCCATAACACCAAGGTGAATCAGACCCTTTAACCGATGCCCTTCTTTACCTTACACTTAACTGGATATTGGTAGTCAAACGTTGACTGATGTACACCTATGTTTCCGATAAATCAACTATCTGACATATATAGGTAAACTCCTGAACCGTTTCCATTATCAGTCTGCCACAAAGAGTATCTTCTATACAGCCGGGACATTACCGACGTGACATGCACCACAGACAGTGATGGTGTATTGCGATGTCACAGTAAATGCCGGCTTGGTCTGGTACCGTTCCAGTCTGACATGAAGTATTCTTGCAAAGAAAGAGAATGGACGCCTAGTCGTGTTGTGCAGTCATGTTCAGGTTTGTGCTTTGTCTTCATCTAATCAAGAAGCAGCAGCAGGGTGACCTGCGGGATAATGTTTAAATCATCCTCTCGGGACCTGGGATGTGTTCCTGACATTTAACATATAAACCCCTTCGTCGGTCTCGTCTCTAATTATATTTCTGTTACACTCATTTCAGAGGCTAAGGTTACATCTTAATAAAGTGTTCTTATGCTCAGGAGACTTGGGATAACACATTTGGAACATCATTCGCTCAATTTATTATTTTCCAGTTGTTTTAAAATTGAATTGCATTCGAACTAAACCTATTTTTTTGTAGAATGTGCATCTCCCGCCACAGTCCAGTTGAAATATATCGTTGTCCACATACAACGAATACCCTCTCTGAAGGAATCACTCTCTGGGATCGCGGAGAGCTTTGCATGTGTGAAAAGTGGTGTATGTAGCTGGCATGTTGCTGTCATGGATTGTGACGACGATACCACCGTGTGTACAGATAATTCCGGTGTTCAGCTGGGTGTTCTGACTCTCGACATTCCCATTGTACCCGGTGTTGTTGACGTCTCTCCAATTCAGACTAATCCAGAACGTGAGTATGGTGTCTTTACACCGTTAGTTCTACACTGACATCGGGCACCTGTTAATGTTGTCATGTACCTGAAGCAGATTTTAATGTTACTGTGGAAGTGTTCAATATACTTTTTTCGATTTCATATTTCTAAAATACAAGGCCTCAACACCTAAATAACATGAAAAAATCGGTCAGGTAATCAATAATGAATATATTTAAAAAATATCTGTACAAATACACAAGAAAAACGTAGTGGACATATAAAGAGAGAACTGGATAGATCAGAGCAAATCCAAAGAACACATACAGCATTGATATATGACTCCATGAGTGAGTGTTGTTTGATTTTCTGGTGAACGTTTTCAGTTGCTCCCATCACTGACACTCTGCTGTCTTCCAATGGAGGATACATACACGAAAGTAACGAACTTCACAGTCCAGCCCACCGTGACCTTGAAATAACAATGCATCAAGGTCACATGATGGTGCAGCCATACGGGCACAAGGAGAGCGGGATAGCAGGTTCGTGAAAGTAATTTATTTGCTAGTATACATGACTATCATAAAAAATTTTTACACGTCATCTAAATCTCTTCTTTCAAACCTTTTCATTTACGCTCATACTTATTTCGAAGCATTCACTACATTCGACATTGTAAAATGTTTTGAGACATAGACATGAATTTTCAGCCATGCTGTTTATGATTTTATGAACTTAAGTTTTGTTTGGACGAGTTGTGTGCTATTTTGCATGATATGACATATTACTCTTTGGGTATCATTATTTATTTGGTTTGAGTTACACGATACAAAATGAGACAGTCAAAGTGAAGATCTTACGAGACAAATCGTTCGTCAGTAATCCATACTTGTCGTAAGCGCCGACAGCTGGATCGCTGATTTTGTTTCCAAATTTTAATAAAGCCTTTATTAAGAGACCGCTGTCACATAGCTGAGTGCAACCAACAACCAATATGTGAGTTAGTGAGTGAGTTTAGTTTCATGCCTTACTCAGCAATTTCCAGCTATGCGGTCTGTAAGTAATCAACCTTGGACCAGACAATCCAGTGATCATCAGCATGAGCATCGATCTTGATGACATTGGGAACCGATGACATGTGCCAACCAAATCAGCGAACCTGACCCCGTTAGTTGCCTCTTACGACAAGCATGGGTTACTGAAAATCAATTCTAACCCGTTGTTGGGTCAACAACCAATAAACAGAATTGGACGACTTGAACAAAAATTCTTCGGGTGCTCTTTCACACTTGAAGAATAGAACTCAAGAATAGTGACTTCTTTTAATGACTAATTCCTCTCATACGAGAGGATAAGACTCAAAGAACAGAGACTTCTTTTAATGACACTTCCCTCTCATACAAGAGGACTGCACCGTAAGAACTGAGTCCCCCTTTTAATGACAGAAGAACAGGGGTATCCTGTAATTACACTTACCCTCCATACCAGAGGAGCAAGAACAATCAAGGGTATGATGTTTCGGTTTGCACAGTTACTGGGGGACTTGAGGCAATCACTGCTGCTTGGAACACCTTGGACAAAGCAAACTGGGAAGTAAGGTCTGTGGGGTACAGAAACTTCACAGTCGGAGACAATGAACCCTACCTGATGGTGGAACAAAATGTCACCTGTGCTGCTGGCCGTGTTCCTGGGGGATTATTCTGCTGTAAGTGTTCACAGAGTTGCTGATCTGAACAGACTGAGATTCACAAACCAGACTTATAGTACGGAAATGACACTCGTGGTAAATTAACATATTAGTGAGTTGTGTATTGATTAAGATTCTGTTTACTTTTGAGGACCGCATGACGTGACGCACGTCTTCAAATTTTACCAATACGAAATACCAATAGAAATCGGCTTAAATGTGTAGACATTCTAAGTTTCAGTGGTTTATGTAAAGATGTAGGGTGGATTCTTTAAATTTATTTAGACATTTATATTTCAGACCAGGCGGTGCAGAATCATTGTATACTGTAAGAACAATGTTCCAGGGAAACTTGCAACATGAGCACTGGTTGTCAGTGTCATAAAATGAAGCGTCAGTAAAATATTATATTTTTACCTCTCTTGTATTGGTTTAATCAGTGAAATGTCCTCTTGGAACCTTCTACTCTGACGGCATGTGCGAGGCATGTCCCGTTGGCTTCTACCAAGACCGCTCCGGACAGTTGGACTGTACATCCTGCCCTGGGTTCGCCACAACGCCCGACATCGGGATTCCATACCACACCATGTGTCTTGGTAAGAATGTCACGAATGTTCATGCGCTGATACAGCAAATCTTTTGTTTTGCACTCAGCAACATTACATTTATTTGCCAGCTGTCTGTAAGTAATCGAATCAGGACCCCAAACTGATTGTTTTCCTGACCATTTCTAACCCGGTTTGTCATGGGGGAAAGGGAGGCATAAGCACTGATTATTGCAAAAACCTGATCAACGAAAACCATGATTGTGACATTTTAATTGGACAAGATGAAATAAGAGCATTTGTCGAAATTACCATTTGTCTACCAGTTTATGTATAATGAAAAACTCAAATATGAATATAATACTAGTGTATATTGGTTTATTAGTGAAAGCGGAATTCAACAATATTCTGGATATGGCGGTGGTCCGTAAATAATCGTCCAGACAATCCCGTGACTGAAATCGTAGATGTAGTGGGATATGATACATGCATCGAACATGTCAGCGATCCTGACGTCCCGTAAATAACTCTTCATACAGGCATGTTGTACAACTAATGACAATTCTGACGTTTCCGTTTTATAATAACCAGATCCCGAAGCTCCTGGCCAGTACCTGCTGGTGGCCAACGGTCAAAATAAGCTGACCAAGACTCACCTGACCTTCAAAAATCAGAGTATTATTGATCTCTCCAACATCAACGGTAGCGTAACTCATCACGTCTACAGTGCCACGGACAACTACATCTATTACAGCACGCAATCTCCAGCCTCCATTGGAAGAATCCGATGGAATGGAAACTGGCAACTTACGATCATAAATCTAAAAGGTTTATTGAATCTTTACGTGTTTTACTCTTATCAGTGTATATCACCGGCAACTAACCTAGACGGTGTTCAGGTACAAGTTTTGGTTCCGGAGGGGCATGGCCAGGACAGATGACTAACCGTTTAGCAAACACTTTGTATTCTTTTTACGGATGTTGCTTTTTTAATGAACTAATGGCTTCTTATATCAACATGATTTAATTTGATAGCGAGGAAACCCTTACAGACAATGTCTTGATGTAGAATTGTTCCTTAAGTCATTAATATAGTCACCTCGACCTTCAGGTGCAAGGATTGGATCTGTAGGGCATGGACTACACGTTTAGTAAAGGTCAAGGTGAGGTGGGGTAGCCTGGTGATTAAACCGTTCGCTCGTCACGCCAAAGGCCGGGTTCGATCCCCTACATGTGTCCAGTGTGTGGAGTCCATTTCTCGCGTCCCCTGCCGTAATATTTCTGGAATATTGCTAAAGGCGGCGTAAAACCATACTCACATGAGTGACTGATGCTTTTTTTAAGAACTTATGGCTTCTTCCATCAGCATGACGAAGGTTTTGTATATAATTGTATTCTGCTCCAGGGGAAGAGGTGACAGGATTGGCTGTGGACGAGAGGTCAGGACTTGTGTTCTATACCCTGCGCACTGGCTCCCTCAGGACCGTGACCTCTGATCGCTACACCAAAGATGACATAGTGATTCTCGATGGACTCAATAATCCCCGTGATCTTGTCCTACATCAGGAAAAATTGTATGCTATAACAATTTCTATACATACACAATTAACAACAATTTTTAATTACTAATAACTTATTCAGAGCTTGATAAAGTTATTTAGACCGTTATAAATTATCTATATGTAGGCGTTATATACGTTGTTAATTCGTTAAACCTTCGTCTAGGAACCAGATAGTTCAGCACGGAAACTCTTTATAAACGAACATTGTCAGTGAATGTGTGTGAAATGAAACTATTCGGTAGATCATACATGTTTAACCCGTGAAGATCCAGGTGAGAACTGATATTCACTAACCAATGCTTGTCGTAAGAGACGACTAACGGGATCTTTCACAAAGCTACTAAAGATATTGGGATCGGGTGGTCAGGCTCGCTGACTTGGTTGACACATGTCATCGTTTCCCAATTGCGCAGACGGATGCTCATGCTGTTGATCACTGGATTGTCTGGTCCAGACTCGAATATTTACAGACCGCCGCCATATAGCTGAATATTGCTGAGTGCGGCGTAAAAGTAAACTCACTCGCTCATACGTATTTAACACAAAACCCGAAAATGAACCATTTCGTCATCAAAACAAGATATAAAAAAATAGTAAGTTGCCACTTACTTTTCAAAGATAAATTTCGAGTCTTTTAGCATTATATATTTAAGTTGCCAAAGTAAATCATTTTAAACAAGAGTTCAATGGAAGACAAACTTATCTTATCTTAAACTCAGTACTCATCTTATACACATATTGTAATGATGCAAGTCCAACTGTAGGAAGTGGAAAAGCTGGAATTCTTTTGGGGATTTCATATATACAATATTTTTTCAAAACATCTAATTTAAAGGAGGCTTCTCATCAGCTACAATGTTGATTACTTCATGTGCTTTTCGAACTTAATGTTATGTAATGATGTTAAGTTCTTTCGTTTTTTTTCATATACCTTTTTGTATATGAAATATGGCAAAACTGGTGTCATATGTATTATGAATGTTATGAGGTCAAAAGAATATAGTGCAAAGCTGTTTTTGATTTAACAACGCCCGTGTATTCTAGAAAGTATTCAACTGATATTTATTCGGAACACTTATTGTTATTGCCCTGGAATATCTAGAATATGATTTATATGCCGAATTTTGTTCAAGTCCATCCATATAATTCCCGTTGGGTCCATAGTTACTCTTAATCCGGAACATCTGACACTTCCATCGTCTATCATCTGCTAAGATATATTCTATTGCACTGTGTTCATTCCTCTGACGTTACCGATGTTCTTATCATAAATGCGAGTATACACATAGTATGAATAAATAAAGGGAGAGTGGGTCACCCTGACGACAACCTTTTTAAAGATTTGGATCCGAACCTATTTACCGAGACACAAAATTTAAGTGTTTTATCAATCAATGTCCTTTCGACTGTCACGTAGGTTGTTTCAAAGTCAATCAGTTGTTGAAGAATTTAGTATGTATCAGACAGACAGACAGGCAGAAAGATAGATAGTTTTTATTCAGTAAAGAGCCCTCTCCCATAATACATTTAATGCGACACTGTGTTTAGTGGGTGCGCAAAACAACTGTCCAGCTTAGTTTATATGGAGTTTATTAATTTCCGTACATGATGTATGTATAGGCCAACATTGTATCTATCAGTATATTAAATCAAATCATGAAGTATCCTCGTTTTCAAAACCTTAATGTGTCTCGTTTAATGCCTCATCCAATGGAGAACAGGTGTTGCAACCTTGTAAATGACCAACACTAGGGAGATAGGATGGCCATTGTTTAAATCTAGTTCAGTATGTTTTTGGAATACATGTTAATAGTCCCTATACCTGTTTTTCCAGCATGATGTACTGGGCCGAAGGACATACAATCCAGCAGTACCGTTATGGCAATGACTCAAGAACTTTACTAAAGAACACTGGACAAGACGTCCTTGGTCTCAGGCTCAACCCAGAAGGTAATTTAACAAAACGTGTTCGTTTACTTCATCCACATCCACTCAAGTAAGACATTGTTAAATAAGGTAGTATTTTATTTGAAGGATACTGACCGACATTGTTCCATATGATCATCTAAAGTCATTTAAGAATCATATAACTTCATCAGTGATATAATTCAATCTAAGACGTTGCTAATGAAATTCCAGTTGTGATGACAATGAAATTCACCATCACAACTGCAATACACATCGCGCTTGTGAAAGCTTACACACGCACGTCAAAATCTGAAATTATACACCCATAACTACTGTTATGGTATTGTCTTATTGCTTTTCTTAATACATTTCATGAGGATATGAGGCAGTGCAGTTATGATAAGATCAAGAAATCCTGTCCATTTCTCCACAGTTGATAGAGTGATGTGGTACAGCAATGGACAACTCATTAGCTGCGACACCGACGGCGATGACGTCACACCTCTAGTTGAAAACGCAAGTCCGCTCTTTGGCCTTGTGAACGACTACTACTTCTATGCCAATGCAACAGGGTAGGGCCTACTGAAGTATTGGTCTTCAACAATGTCACTGATGTTGAAGCTATTAGGGCAACATTTTTATTTTCTGTGTTTTTCATCACCCGACCCTTCTAATTTTATTGCCGACCCCCCTTTCATTCCAACACCGCCGACTCTAACCTAAAGCGCACCTACTCGTCATATAAAATGTTTATCTTTAAATCAGTCGCTGCTACAAGTCCAAAGAACGCGAGAAATTGTACTAAGAATGACAATAAATGAGAATCAAGAACATTATTCAGATAATTTTGTCTTTATTATTTAATGTTTTTCCCCGACCGACCGACACATATTCAGAATTTGGTGGCTACGTGAAACATCATAAAAAATGATGCCATTATTGTTAGACGTACTCGATTTTAACGATGTTGTTACATATTCCATATTTCTTTTTGGTTTAAATGAGATTATCAATAAGTTAACCCTTTACGGTTTTCTGTTCACCTCTTGCACTGATCTTTTCCTTTTAGACTGTACAGAGTCAATGCTGATGGTGTCACACGCGCACAAGTGATGTTGCTTACTTCATTCCCAACCAGCGTCTCGGTCATCTCCACCAGCCAACAGGACTGGGGTAATGAGAATATTGAGCATCGTTTTCTTAGACTTTCAAACTCCCAAAATGAATGCTTTAACAATAGCGATAATACCTGTTTCCAGAATTGTAAGAAATCTCCAGTGTTACATGTAACTCGTATCATATGTATAACCGTTTAATGGTTACTGTACATCTGTCAGTAGGTTCGGTGCCGACCCTTCCCATTAAAGCACGTGAGCTACTGCCCCTAGACTGCAATTCAGCAAAACTGTTGTTGATTTTGATTCTTTTCTTCACAGGGCCTCTGAAATGTTCTGGCAGTCTTCCTGAAGGCCAGGCCTGCTGGCAGATTGATCGTTTCGAGACCAAGCTTTTGGGAACTGAGGTGCCCTATTGCGACGAAGAGTAGCTATGAAACCTTGTTCAATGTCCGCACAGATTTAACGGTAAATTGGTACAAAAAGAGAATATGGATTATTTTTGTTTTTCTAAGATGTAAAAAAGATCGTTCATATGCACCGGCAATCCTTATATTGTACATAAAATTCTCAATATAACAAGCCTATCCATGAATGAAAGGAATAATAAAGGAAATGAAGACAGTTACAAACATTGTTTACTACTTGCAGAAATATTGATGACGCTTTACATCGGTGTAAGTAACGCGTACTTGTTGCCTTAAATCTGTGCGGACTTTAACATCCTTCGAAACTGGACATGGAATTATCTTTTCATCCTCAAGATTCGTATGTGGTTAAGACCTGTGAAATGAAATGTACGACCTAAATAATCTATGTGCTGTTTATGTTATTATGTATGTTAAAATTGAACTTCACTTGTTCAATGTAATTATCAGCCCACATTATTTAATAATTACTTTTCGCATAATACTTTCAGTTTCGCTACACGAACTTAGTTTGTCTTTTGCCTCCATGGTTCTGTCCAGGTTTCTTAAACAGATGAACAATCATGATGTTTATAATCTTATTAAAACATGAATAAATAAATGCATACAATCTTTCCATGTGTACAACTTCTATTTCCTTATATATCAGAGCTGTTACTTTAAACACTCGGATGAATATCTGTGGTAAGCATATATATAGGCATAAGCATACATATCAGTATATATTCAACTAGCTCTAGTGGATTGTGTTCCTGTCTCAGAATAAAAAACCCAATTATGCTTCAATTTTCAATTTACGGTTTGTCTCGAGACGTTAATTAAATTAGAAAGGTACAACTGCTTGTTTGTACAAGACCACAAAAATGCTCTTTAGGGGACTAATGTAAACTAGCAATCATCTTGAGTCGGATGCAATGCGACACCAATTCACAAGCCCATCAGTTTTACACTTACACATACCATATCACCTCACAGGATCGTCACTTTGTAAGATAGCAATACTTCACGAAACCATCATATGGGGAGTTACAACACTGTATGATCCGACACGGCCATTTAGCTAACAAGTGCGAATAGAGTAACCCAAAGAACACTTACTCTAACGGATACAGATACATCCGACTTGGCGTTGTTCTACAACGTGTAATTACCATATGATTCCACAGGGCCATTTCTCTAACAGGTTTAATTCAGGTATAATATCAAGACACCAGTACTCTAGATGCAGAAATACCTCACTGTACTATCATATATTCGATACAATCACAACTCATGGTACCTTTGTTCCAACATGTATCGATATTGAAGCATTCCCTGGTACCATTACTCTAACAGGTATAGACAGAGAAGTATCTGTTGGTACCATACTGTGACATGTATATATACTGTATAATCTGATGGTAACCTTACTATGAAAGAAATATATAGAGAGAATACGAGTGTCCTTCGTATGGTCTCTGACCGAGCGAAAGCGAGGTCAGATTACAATAGGAAGGTCACGAGTTTCGTATAATTCGTATGTAATGAGACCGAGTGTGGTATTTTATTTATTACCCACGTCTTACATGCATTTAAATTGAAAAAAAAGCGTATTTTTGTTACGTTTTTGGTTTCAAACCGAAACCGGTTTCATAAAGAGGTTACGGAAGAGTTTTGTACTGTAGTATAATATTTGCATGACGTCACACTAATGACGTCACTGCCATGGTAACCGACGTCACGATGTATGTCATTTGTCATCGCCTCGTACAGCCTCCTACAGTAAACTGCTCCGTTGCACCTCGTTTCTTGGTTTCCAGTTGCTTCATTCGGCTAACATCACTGGCTGGAATCATTGCGTTTATGTTTTTCGACAGATATAATGTCTCAGTTCGACTCACAATTAAACAGCGACACGGCAACGTTCGCAATGTTTACATTCCCACAATGCATTTGAGTTGTAGAATGAATGAATTCACGTGTTTGTTATGAATGAAAAAATAGTTACGTCAGAATGTGACCTAATTGAGAGGTCATCGGTTATCCAATCAAATCGTTAGAATTTCAGGTCAAGTCGATACGACACAGGTCAACGCGATACGACACTCGTGTGACGTACGAGATTAGGATGCAACTACCCATACGTTAACCACGTGGGTAATAAACAGTATTATCTTACCTTCATGTAAAATACCTTATGAACATTTCGTCCCAGTATCCAGCGACTGCTTACCACCAGTATTTATCATTATATAAAATTCCAAATTCAGCTGCAATCGCCATCACATGAAAACACCTTGCCGAAACGCAACAATGCACTTGGAAATAAGGCATGCAATGCATGCTTTTTCACCGTTTTGTCAAAATATGATTTGCAAAAGCCGTTTGCTTTGGTTTTATACCTGTTTGCCAAACAGGTATAAAACCAATGGAAACGGGTTTTCAGACATTCATTCTATTAAAAAACACACCAAAAGAATGGCTCTATTAACTTGGTGACAACGAGAACGGGCTATCGGAATGCTCGAAAAGGGAGCTTCCGACACCCACGTTACAAAAATGCTTGGCTATCATCGCGTCACCGTCAGAAAGGACTGACCTCAGACAGCCCACGATCAGGCAGACCTCGAGCCACAACGCCCCATGAGGACCAGTATCTGCGCACGCTGCATCTCAGAAACTGCTTCCTGATGGTGACGTCATCAGCGGCGCATGGCGTGGTTCACTGTGTAAGCTGATACACAATAGACATAGACGACTGAGGTCCTATGGAATCCGGGCTTACAGACCTTTCGGGGGACAGCAGTTGACATGCGAACATCGTCGACGTAGACTTAGATGGGCCCGGACGGTTCGACGTTGACAGCGACTGCTATTCTCGGATGAGTGCCGCTTCTCTCTTCAGAGCTGGCGGAAGAGTGCTTGTTTACGGCCGTCATGGAGATCTGTCTTTTGAGGTTATTTCACAAAAGGGTTTCTAATCTATGGTAACATTTCTTTAACCCGTCAGTTTATGTCATGCCTACTCTAAGTCACTGAAGTCTAAGCTTATTGCTTTTTGATGAATATCTCTCAGGCTCAAAAATTGTTTGAAAGGATCTACCAACATCAAATCTAGAACTTAAACTAAGGGCATTCATACAATTCTGGCGAAACATATCAACATCTCTTTGACAAAATTCTATCCTACACCTTAAAATATTCCAGCCACGTGCAGTCAGCACTGGGCCTACAAGGGAATTGAGAAAGACACTCAGTCACAAAATACAGCTACCCAAACTAGCTTGACTGTTGCTCCCAGAGCCATCCTGACAGGACAGTCAGGCCCTACTGACTGGAACCTCATCCATAATCCACTCAGCACGGGATACTGGTTACGGTACGTCAATTCAGTCACGACACACGTTTTGCTGACCCTAACTGGGGGCTTTGTACACCAACTCGAGAACACCCTTGACGATATTGCATGCGACGTTTAAGTTATACAGTTCCTAAAGGGCATGAATCGAAATATAAAATATTATCGTTACATGACGTTAACCTTTAATTGGTTTTAATTTATCAGGTCTTTTTCAATCACGACTGTCCACTGAAAAAGACGATTGTGAACAAGGCTAGTGGCTGCTACCGTAACAATACTCACGTGAAAAGGGTCAAGGTAATGAATGACAGATCATTATAGGTTGAATGACGTATTAGGCATGTTTAAGAAAATCTGACCTGACCCCCAGAAAGCCCAAGGACAAACTGCATGCTGGGTATAAATTTCCCTTTGAAAGAATCTGGAGCTCGGAGCTTTGTAGGAAACCATTCAAGATATGCAGTGTGTGGAAGAGAATAGGAACTCAACCGATGCCTTTGGTTAGATCAAATCGACCGGTGTTAAAAGTGAAACAGAGGGCTTTATGTTTACTGCCCAGTATTAGTCACCTTCCAAATGTGATTCTTAAAGGGAACGTTAACATGGAATGTCGGCTGTCTGTTCAACACCTTGGATGGCCTTACTTGAAAAAATCCCCCAAGAGAGAAGTTTCAGTCCTGACGATAAACACCATTTTCTCGTGACACTATTAATCTGTACAATCCGACATCCTCTCCCCATATTGGACTAAAATAGCCAATCAACCTGTCAAAGGCCAGTTGACAACTAACATCCTGTTACTGGTAATCTCTTTGGTCCCAGCACTTGCTAACTGGGAGGTATAATTAGCAGTGTGAGAACGCCTGTATCTTTGTTTTTGCTGAGTGGCCCATGTGAGTACCTAGGTATGTTTTGTCAAGCATAGGATGAATGGGCTGATGAAGGGATCAATTAATTTGGTGAGATCAATTACCAATGAGTCAGCGGTGTCAACTTGAATTGTCTCTGTCAGCAGTAAATAGCTAGCCACACTGAAGAAAGTGTGAATATGATTGTGATAGTAGTACATGTATGTATATTGTACTGAAGATAATAAATCCACTGTATACATGTACATGTAAATAGAGAATTTGTTTTTCCCCCTTTATTTACCAGGAGAATAGCTATTAAGCATTAATTTCATGATATAAGCCAGTTACAACTGACTGACTGACTGACTGACTGAGTTTGGTTTTATGCCGCTTTTAGCAATATTCCAGCAACACCAGAAATGGGCTTCACACATTGTACCCATGTGGGGATTCGAACCCGGGTCTTCGGCATGACGAGCGCCAGTTACAGTGTATGGTACTGTTTGAAAAGTATCCAAGCAAGGAGACATTGAATTATCCGACACTCTGTATAATCCGACATTTTTCCGGGTCCCAGTGAGTGTCGGATTATACAGAATCCACTGTAGTGGTGATTTTGCTAATCCCTGGTGAACCATTAGATGCTAGGCACCATGCACCATATTTTCTTGATAAGAAAGTCAGTGAAACTCATATCAAACATACAAAAGACACAACTTTGACATGTCAATATGATTATAATGTATACTGAAAGCCATTAAAACGCAATTGGTATTTGTTGTCCTGAAACTTACAAAAGTTCTATTGAAGATTTTTTTCCTGCGATACAGAGGATGTAGGGATAAAAGGCTGTTATTCTGGCCCATTTCAAGTTCGAGTCCCGGAGCATTCCTCTCACATGAACTTTGATACTTAAAACTGAACCTTTGACATTTATCGTAAACACAACCACATTCATGAAACACGTTGTGCACATGCATTACCTGCACCCAGGCCCTGTAAAAGCACAAGGAATTGTGGAACTCAATCACTTTGAGAAAATGCCACACTTGACACAAGACAAAAGGATTCAGGTTATCGGTATGGTCAGCCAAGGTGCTTCAGATGTGATGATTGCGAGGCACTTTAATGTGTATCCATCCACTGTAAGTCGACTCAGACAACTTTTTTGGGCTACCGGAAGTGTTGCTGATCGTCCGCGACCTGGTGCACCTCCTGTGATAACAGCTCGACAAAACCGCAATATCCGAGTTTCACCCTTGCGAAATCGGTTCCAAACAGCTGATGATTAGGCAAGGAGGACAATTGGGACAAGTCAACGTCATTTCAGCGCCCAAAAGGTTCAAGGACGCCTTGCTGCCTTCAACATCCGGTGTCGTCACCCGTACCTTGGTCAAACCTTATTGCATCGCCACAGACTTGC